TGCGAGACACGGACAGATTTTTTATTTGAAGGTAAATCATTGAAACACAAATTAAGCATGGGCACATAAGTACAACTCCTTTTTTTCATTCCATTTATGTATTAACATTATAGAAAAATTACGACTGAGGACCAAAGTGGTGCAAGGCTGCAGTAAAGGTGAGGAATCACTACTTTCGTCGATATTTTCTGATTAATTTTTGAGCACTCGATTCTGCATTGACAAATGACATGAGCCATATGGTACTTTAAATATATATACTACTAAATGTAACGCACAGGCACTTTCGTCAATAGACAGTCATTGCTATTAATCCGATAACAATCAATGATAGCGCACTGCGCTATGAACCCAGCGACCTAAGCTCCAATACACGGATCAACATTTTTGTGGAGTGATATCTGAACCGACCCTGGGGTCTTCTTTCCTTTTCTTATTGCTCCGCTTGTTTATCCAGTAAAGCCTCACTGTGTACTCCCAATTGAGAATTTCACCAACTTCCAACGCGCACTGAACTGCGTGAAGTACGGTCAAACAACAACAACCACCGTCATTCATCACGATGTGGCGGTGACCACGGTGCCTGTGCCAGGCTAGGTGCACTTTGAGGCTATCACGTGAAGTTTTTGTCGAAGGCTCGCTGCTGGCAGGAGGTCACGGGAAAGACTGAGGTGCTGTGGGTTGACTGACTGAGATGCCCTGTCAAACGACAAACCCTGCGTGGCCGACACGGCGTGGCAAGGCCTTCATCCAATGATGGATTAACAAAGTGCACTGTGATGAGTACTTTTTCAATAATAACAATGAAGCCTATCCCGGGCTTATGTTACTCATAAGCAGTGCCGGATGATCCTAGTAGCAAAAGTAGCTACATTTGCGACAGGCCCCGCACTTTCAAGGGCCCCACGCTAAATTATTTCAAGCTATTGTGGTGCTACGACCATGGAGCAACTCCGCAAGCGCCGCAATTCCCTCCCGGCCCCCGCACTAAACACCCACGTAGTGTCCTGGTGGGGGATTGCCTGGCACATCGGGTTTTAATCCAAAGGACCCCAAGATGGAGAATCCCACGTTTTCCCGGTGCCAGGAGATTGGCCAACCCTCACAGGACAGGTTACATTGCGGTGCCCCGAAATTGGCATAAAATTGTATGGGCGCAAAAAGAAAAGATTCCCTGGGCCAACCGCAATGAGGTACAACTCGGAGGGAAGAATGGAGGACGGAACCCTGAGCAAGAAGGGCGCAAGACAAAGGGACAATGGGTGGCTGCCGCCGCCCGCCGGTCACAGGGAGAGGGATGGCAGCGCGGGTGGGCGCATGATTGGCTGCGCGGTATGATACCACCCTGGGCCTTTGAAGTGAGGGGATTAGGCCACGGTAGAGACGGTGGAAAGGGACGGCGGTGCAGGGAAGCGCATGATTGGCTGCGCGGTACAATGGCACCCCGGGCCTTTGAAGTAAGGATTTAAAGGGAGTAGCCCAGGACTATTTTGGGTTCTTGTCTTCAGCCTCCGGGCCGTCAAGACCCACTCCCTGCCTTCCTGCCTCCTCGAGCCGCTCGCAGCATCCGTGTGATGCCGGCAAGTGCTGCTACGAGGCAGTGATAGGTGAAGTTTTCTCTCGTCCTTCTCCCTCCGACTCTCACAGCGTCCGTGCGATGCCGTGAGTATAGCTACGAGGTACGTAGTAGGACGTTTGAGTGACTGGGTTCGTAGGCAGAGTTAGGCTAAGATCTTCTTGTGACGTATTCCACCTCCAGGTAGTGTGTATTTGCGCCGTTAATAAACTTTAGTTGCAGAGGATCGGTGCAGTGTGATTCCTGTGTGTGTTGGTAGAACATCGACGTGGTGTCTTCGATTTGTGCGTGGTGCGACTGCGCGAGAGAGCGAGCGCAGGGCTGCAGCGTCAGTGTGGTGTCGGTAATTTGAGCGTGCGTGCACGTGTATTAAAACATAAGTGCTCGCGCTTGTTCGCGTAACAACAATAGCATTGACGGCAAGGCGTGCGCGCAAATTCGCGCAGCCCTTTATCGCTAGCCTTTGTGTAAAACGAGCGCCTGCAGGGGCGCGCGTGTGCACGCAGCCGCCTTGATATTAGTGGTGGTGTACGTGGCCGTGTGTGAGATAACCCCGGGCGGTGGTGAGCCAGCCACTGAGCTATGTCCCTCAGAGAGGGCGCTGGCGCAGGAGGGCCGATCACCTGATCGGCGGGGGCCTGGCGAGAGGGGCCGAACGGCGCGGTAGAGGAAGGAGTGGAGGAGGGACTGGAGGGGGCAAACGTTGCGCTCCACCTGCCCAACGAGGGCGGTGGGGCGGACGTCGTCCCCCACAGTAGCAATTCCGGTTCAGTGATTCTGCACTTGCTCTATTACTTTAGTATTATACCGCCTTCAACTTTTATGAACGACTGGGTGTTTAAGGTTAGCGATTTGTCGTCTATATATGGCTGTCTTGAAATTTAAAAAATACAATTACTTTACTATGCAAGTTAAAAATGTGTCTTCTTGGTTCTTTCGGTAAAGTCACGTAGAAGGGAAAGAATAAAAGAATAAAAATAAAACATAATAAAATACATTTTTTCCGCCCTTCTACATGACTTTACCGAAAGAACCAAGAAGATGAATCCCTGCAGTCACGAAAGCTTTAAATCGAAATAAAAAAAATGTGTGTTTTAATATTTACGTTTTTTTTTATTTAGGGCCCTTTGATAACATATTCTACAGGCCCCGCACTAGCTTAGTCCGGCAATGCTCACGAGGGGTACAACGGTGTATGCCAATTACTTGTTTAGAGCGTCAACCGCCCTTCGCACATCCATCGCGTGCAACGTAATAGATCACAGCACAGTCTCGGTACGCACTTAGGCTTATTTAAACTTGCGCTGTATAATACTAATGTTGATATTTCTAACTTAATCTTGCCTGTATAATCCATGTATTTGAATGAACAATACTTAGAGCCCTTTGTCAATCCAATGCTGGATGAAGGCTCCCCCACGCCGCGTGCCGGCTCGTGTGGGGTTTTTTTGACCATACTTCACCACGCCGGTCAGTGCGGGAGGGCGAAAGTGGGGGAAGATGGAGTATTCACGGAATTTGGATGCGATACTTTCCGCACGATGAGCCACTTCGTTGAGCTATAATTTGTGTGATTTGCACTCCGATCGTGGGTTTGCGTTGTTATTGTGACGTTTTGACCCGCCCCTGCTTAGATATCTGTATAAAAAAGAGCTTCATTGCTCATCGGATTCCTCCAGTATACCTACTCGAATCACCCAGGAATGTCCCTAACGCTCGTGACGTCACTCCACGTCCACCAGCCCCCCTCATTAATATTCATGAGCAGGTGACGTCCTCCACATGGACCCCCCACCATTAATAATCATGAGCAGGTGACGTCACTCCACCTCGAACAGCCCCCATCATTAATAATCATTAACAGGTGATGTCCTCCAAATGGACCCCCCCCCCCCGCACGCCATTAATAATAATTAGCGGCTGACGTCACTCCACATGGGGAGGGGGGCGAGGCGGCTCCTCCCCCCTCCTCGGCGTCAACTTACAACCCTCACTACAAAGGCAAAACCCTCACGTCACGTGATCTCCGTGACGCTGTTGAGACATCAAAGTAAAAAGGACGTCATGATGAACAAGGGATTATAACCTTTAAACGAAATAGGTCTGTGTCACCGCGCCATTACAAATTGCACGCGGTCTGCTTTTCGCTTGCAAGTTACAGATTTACCGCAATACACCCGTCCTTGGACGGGCCAACGGCTAGCAAATAAATATTCAGATTCTGAGAAATAATTTGCCACTGATATGAGCCCTGGCGGGGATCAATTGACAGCGCAGCGTGCCGCACCACTGCGCCACCGCTCCCCATGCCTTGCAGAAATATTAAAAAAACACTCGAGTGTATATCATCATCATGAATCATGATCAATCCACTGCTGGATGAAGGCCTCCACCCAAACCGCCGTCACCACCACCTGTCACGGCCCAGCGATGTAACTATCGATACAATCACCGGATCTCTCGCGCATCGCTCCCTCGGCCTCGGCGGTGTACGTTCTGTCATCGGGCGCCTTTCTCTCCGTGTGACATGTCAGGGTGTTCTGCATTAATACCGTGTAACAATCACAAGCTCATTCCGCGCACGCACCCCCAGTGCCACGCCTGTGCACCAACATCTTCCCTCTCGCCTCCGCGTCGTCCTCTCTTCTCGGTTGCGCAGACGAAACAGCAACACCGGGACTGCCTTCAAATCGCACAAACTCCCAAATTGCTTCGGGAACCGAGTTTGGGGCCGTCCATAAATGACGTCAACGCACCTAGGGGGGGGGGGGGTCAGACATTTGTGACGATCTGTGACGAGGGGGGGTTTGAGAAATGTGACGTCACATCAATATGCGCAACTTTAAATATAGACAATACGTTCTACTTAATTTAATAGACAACATCAGAGTGCAGCGCCACATTAAATACGCACTATGACAATAGTTTAAAGCGATTTGAAGCATGTTTTATTAAAAAATGAAAATATAGTTTCGAGGGGGGGGGGCAGAGCTTTGTGACGTCATATTTGAGGGGGGGGTCTGACTTTTTGTGACGCCGTGTGACGAGGGGGGGGTCAAAAATAGTCCAAAATCGCGTGACGTCATTTATGGACGGCCCCCTTTTTTCGTCTTCAAAGTGTGGGGCTTTTTCTTGACTTAAAGCTTTCGTGACGGCAGGGATTCATATTCTTTGGGTCTTTCGGTAAAGTCGCGTAGATTGGATGGGTTTATTTTTATTCATTTGAACCAATCTCCGTGACTTTACCGAAAGACCCCAAAAAATATGGGTCTTTTTCCCTCCTCCCTCCCTCATCCCACCCACGCCTCTTTACTCCTCCCCCGCAAACACGGCCTCCCAACACCCACACCGCCACGCTCCCTCCCCTCGTTTTGGGGGCGGAGGCAACCCAACACAATGGAGCCAACATCGGAGGGCGGAGTGACATACAATCCACGCACACACACACACCAGAGGCACACGCAGGCATACACACACACGCGCGCATACACACGGACAAACTCGCGTAGGCGCGCGCGCGTATATATTCACCCGCGCGCACGGTGCGTGTGACACGTGTACAACGCACGCGGACAGCAGCACGCGGCCACGGCTGTTCCGCACACACGCACACACACCACGGCAGGCACATCTCGTGCTGCCGGTAGAGGGCCCAGCAGCAAATGATGCCGGAACGCACGCGAGCAGTGACGACCGCTGCTCCATGCGCCACGTAAACGCAGCGACACCAGCAACAGCAGCAAGCAGCTGTTACAACAGCGATCACAGCAACAGCAGCCACAGCCACAACCACCAACTACGGCTATCATCAGCAAGCAGCGCCCACCGTATAGCCAGCCCTCCGTGTCGAACTTGCCACATGTGCAGCGAAAGTGCTGCGGGCGATGAGCCAGCCGGCGGCAACAGTTTTATTACGGCCTAGAGCGAGCGTGCGTAACAAGTTGTGCGTGGCGACTGCGCACAATTCACAACAATTCACATCGACGGCAGCGGCGGCGGCGGGCGACGAAGAGTGTGACATTAGCGCGCGCTGTTAAAGCCCTTTCGTCTTGCTCGTCATGGAAGAGGAGAAAAGGGCCCCGCCACTGGAGCAAGACGGCCAGGTCGCAGCCAAGGAAGGAGGAGGTGGTGGTGGTGGCGGCGCTCCAGCGCACGTGGCGGCCGCGGTAAGAGGCGGTCGCGAGCGTGTTCCGCGTGCCGTCGGAGACTTGTTTGGGCACGCGGTGGAGATGCCACTAATTGTGTCGGCCACAAATTGTATCGGCCGCATCGTTCACTTTGACGCGTCGATTTGTTGGCCGTTCTTAGTTACTTTGTTAATGACCCGGGTGGGTGGAATTGTGAGCGCACGTGGTTTTCTTCCACCTGTGGATTTGCACAGGTGCGTCTTAACAGCGGCGTGTTGTTTATTGCACGGGTGTGTAACGGTGTTGTTCCTCCTCTGCAGGTGTGACATGGGTGGCCCTTTCCACGGTTGTGGCTGTGCAGTGCACGCAGGTGTATAACAACGTTCTCGCACCTGTACGAAAGCGTTTTCACGCACGTGTATGAGACAGCGTGGCCTTGCACACTTACGCAGGCGTTAGACCGCGTGTCTGGTTCGAGCTGCACACACAAATTAATTCTGTAACGAGAGTGACAGCTGTTACCACTCGATTCGAGAAGCGATTTGTATGTCTTTGTTGTCTTCCCTCCACTGCCCCCCCACCCCCCATCTATTTTGTATTTTCTACTTTAGTTCCACCGATTTCCAGACCGTTTTTAGATCTTAGTTTACGAAAAAATATTGCACGTGGCGTTGATATATCGGCATGCTTAGTCGATGCTTTTGTTTCCTTAGTTACACGCGCCGCACTGCTTTGTTTCTTGGTGACCGTCCCCCTCGAATTGTGCTTAGGGGCCGTCCATAAATGACGTCACGCAACTTTAAATAAATATAGAATTGTTATAACAACACTAATTGTTATAACAACACTCTTACAACATCAGAGTGCAGCGCCACATTAAATACGCACAGCAATGACAATAGTTTAAAGCGATTTGAAGCATGTTTTATTTTCAAAATGGAAATTTGGTTTTGGGGGAGGGGGGGGGCAGAGCTTTGTGACGTCATATTTGATGGGGGCCTGACTTTTTATGACGCCGTGTGACGAGGGGGGGGGGTCAAAAATCGTCCAAAATCGCGTGACGTCATTTATGGACGGCCCCCTAATGACACCGTTGCGCTACGAGGTGGCCAGGAGATGGCAGCATTTTGCGATGATTTATTGAATTTAAGCAGAGTTTATTGTTTCGTGGTGCCTTTCCTCCGGGGTATTCGTGTTTCCATCCACAAGCCACTCGTTAGTGAAACTGATAAAACATCCCTATGGAGCAGGAGCCTCGTAAACAAAACCAGTGCCATGATAATTGTTTTTTTACCCTTCTATCTGGCAACAAAACTGACACCTTTTTTACAAGGAGTCATGTTTGCATAGACCACAATACCAGCAGTCATAATGCAAACAAAAAACATAACTCTGATAATGTATGCACTGTCCTTGAAGTTGATTGGTATTGTGGTCTATGCAAACATGACTCCTTGTAAAAAAAAAGGTGTCAGTTTTGTTGCCAGATAGAAGGGTAAAAACCCAATGATCATATTTTTTACTGGTAAATGAGGTTCCAATGGTGTAAAACCAGTGCCCTTAAAAAAACTCTCACACACGAGGGGTAACACTCAGAAAGCTCCACACAGATAGATTCAATAATCCGTAGCTCTTACTGCCATCTCGTGGTTGTTTACGTTCGTGTACAGATCACGAGATTGCCATACTTGTAGTGTAAGACGCCTGTAAAGTATCTGTACAACTTGCGGTAGGTGCGGTATATAATTAGAAGCTTGCATGCGCGTTCTATTTTAAACCCGACGTGTAATGTGTCTGGTCCCACGCGAGAGAGTGTTTCGAGCATATGGTTCGGTTATGGAGTGGCTCTCAGAAGCCGAGTTCAAGGAAGCGGAGTTAAAGAGTTGTGGCTTTTGGGCTGAAGGTTGTTTTTAAATCCTTTATATTAAGTTCACTTGCTTGCTTGCGCGCTTACGACCGTGCAAATCTTTCGGTCGTTTTTTAACCCAATTCCCGTGATCCAATCGAGCTGACATTTTGCACACAGACTCGTTGTGCGTGACAATTTATTTTCGTGAAAAAAAATTTCCAAAATGTTCCACTTTTTAGGAAAATTTTTTTTCATATTTAATTTAAAATACCAATGTGATAAAAATGAAACTCTTACTCAAGAAAAACATAAATGAATAATAAAATAAAACCGATGCCACGCATATAAAGGATTTATAGTGAAAAACTTTGTTTTTACGGGTTAATTTTTTCTTGTTAAAGCGATGACCAAATTGCCCTCACTCGGTCTCGACAGATTTTTTTTGGCAGCTCAGCAGGAAGTTTCGGTGTAGTGGCCGTTGGTTTGCGATACGGCTCCTTGTGGGATCGCCCTGCAGTGTGGCCATGAGATCCATTCGTGAATCCAGCAACGGATTCCTGAATCGGTCTGTGTGGAGATTTGAGTACGCGTGGGGTTTAATTTCGAAGTGCTCCAAAGATGCCATTGCAGAATACTTTGGGGAAAATACGAGTCTTGAAACTCGGCGACTCGCTCCTTGGCTAGGAAATAAATACATTTCGCTCATACACGTAAAAAAAATATTTTAACGTGGGTGTGTGTTCGACATTGCGTGGTGAAACTTTCCCATAGATTTGTGAATAACAATGTCTGTCTTGGGGGGGGGGGGGGGCAGGGGTTTGGTGACAAACACATTCTGCCGCGTAGGTTTCAGGAACTGAACTTCAATTTCAGAAAAGAAAAAAACTTGCGGTCGAGGAGAAAGGTGCACAGTAAAAATCACGTTGGATCATGGAGTTTTCACCGCCAAGTCAATTCCACATGGCGGTAAGAATTGTTCTCAACGCGTATACTGCAGTAGTAGCCTTAAGGCTAAGAACGGAACAAACCGATCTATTATTTCCACCGTTAAAGAAAATAAATTGTGACCGCGTCTGGCAGGAGTGCGCAAGCATAAATAACAAAAAACGAAAATTACTTTTTTTCATAGATCGGCCATTAGGGGAAATATATATATAAATGGGCGATGTTTCAGCCAAATGGCCCTTCTTCATAGCAGTGCTGTCTGCTATGAAAAAAAATATTTCCTGAAACTTTGAAATAACAAAAAAAACATCCATCAAATAACACGCGCTGCCATTTAACAGGAGACATTTTGGTCAGTGGGCCATAAAATCCCGCAATGAAGAAAGGGACATTGCAGCAGAACGTCGCCTATTAAATATTTTCCTTTTGAAGGGTGGTGATGTTATTGACGAACATAAAAAAAATATATATAGCAGCTTTAAGATTCCAAAAACGCCTTTTTTTACTGCCAGAGGTGTTAGCGTCATGTTGCGTTTTTCATAGTCACGTCAGTGTTTCCGTATTAACTGGGGGTTTTTTTACCGTGTGTGATTTCAGACGGTTTGCCAAACTTTATAGATGGCATGTACCTCCGTATGCAAAATACAAAGATCCCCTGTATGGTCTATTAACAGACTTGGGGCAAGTGCTGTTAGTGAGCACCTATGAAGCCGACACTGCACACGAGGGGGTGGGTGGTCAGCACCACACCCGGCCGCCTTTGTCTCCCTAGTGGCGTCAGGTACTCATTTGAGGCCGAGTCGACCTAGGGGAGGTTCGGGACTGGCTCAAATATTCACTGTCGGGTGCGCTAACCACTGCGTCACTGCACCCACTCGCGCACACACACACACCTTCCGGAAAAGGGTAGAATAAATAAGGCCCTGTTTTGCCTGGCAAATCAAATACTATGAGTAAATGGTCACAGGGAAATTCTTTTGTCCGTGTGAAGAAAAAAAACTCACTATTTTATCATTGCAGCCACGTCTTTAAGAAGATCTCTTTTTATCAAGCGGCTTACAGCTCGCACACTCGAATGGTGCGTACGAGATATTGGTAAGCGTCAACAAATAAAACCTCAGGGCAGGCAAAGTGTGGCGTAAGCGTTACGCAGACAACGCGGCAAACAGCGCCGCAATATTTTACGGCCCCTTTGTCAAGCCACGCGGCGTCCGTCACGGAGGTGGTTTGTCCATACTTCACCACGCTGGCCCGGTGAGGGGTCCGTGAAGGAAAGCGGTGGCAATCCCAGGACTCGTTCAGACTTCCCTCGCCGCCAAACCTAGCCCTTGCCGGGAATTGAACCCAGGTCACCGGGTTCACAGCGCCGCTGCCCTTCGCATTCTACGGTTGAGCAACAAACAGATTCCCGGCGCTGGTGGCGATGCTGCACACCCGCAGTGCAGCACTCTGTCGGCGAGGGCTGGTGGATCTCCCCTCCCTACCTGTGGGCAACGAGGTCGCCATCTCTGGCTTGCCAGAATCTGGATGTACGGAAAGTTAATTCCAATCCGTCCATTTCCATCTGTACGGGGGGGGGGGGGGGGGAATCGAGTGTTGTCTCCTCGCATGTGTGGGCTTTTTCTCTCCCCGTCTCTGGTTTTCTCCCAACATACATAAACACTATCATTAGTGGAGTTGGACAAACATCCCAATATAGGACCGCAGATCTTTGGGGAAATTGTTGGCGCCGGTTCTGGCTCCCTTCCCACTTGTTTGCGGTTTTCCCGCGCCTCATCATCGTTCTCCCCCACCCCTCCTCTCTCTCTCTCTGAGAGCACACGAACGGACACTGCGCGCATCACAGATTCTAAGATGTCAATGCCGCTTGTGACCACTCATACTTTAAAACAGCCGGAACAGCTGACAAAAGCCTCAACCGCTTTCTGTAGACACCCCCTGACAGTGATTTACTTGTAAGCAGCAACCACCACAACGAGCATTCTAAACCTCTTGTTCCCTTTTGAACGTCCCCTTCCTTGACACTCATTCGTCGCACAGTATACACTCGAGCTTTTTACAGACACCTGCAAAGATACCGTAGAATTGCAGTGGGAAAAACGTAAGACAACATGTTAAAATATCCTCTTCAATAAAATTAAACGCATACCTGCTGGGTATGTCTGAAGGGGGCAATGCCCCCCATTGTTTAGTTTGTTTCAGCGATCCCCCCGCCACGATTTATCTGCTGCTGGATGAAGGCCTC